CCAAGTAACGGTAGTAATCTCCTTTCATTTTCAAATAGAAGACTTTGCTCTCTGCTTGTGAAGCATTGGGAATCAAGAACTTTTCCAAAAGGGACAGTACATCATTGCAGATATCTCTTAGCTCGGTCTCAATTTTCTCTCTGTATTCTCGAGCCATCTGCTGTTTTTTCTCGGCACCTTCCGTCTTTTGCTGAGAAGTTTCCTTCCAGTGGGCGTAAAGGAAGAGTAAACTGGCAGAGGTTGCGGGGGAGATAGAGGGCGTCTAGGATCCAAGGGGAAGGCTAGGAAGGGGGTTAGCGGTGGAGAGGGAAATAAAAAACCAGCTTCCTGCCCAGTAGTGCTGGGGACACGAGTAGACAACTTGAAAGGAAAGCGGTGTGGGGAGGAGTTGGTAGCGGGAGAGGAGCGTGCTCCTCCGCTCGCCCTCTAGCGCGGGCGGGCAGGGCGCGCGCTGGGGAGCTGCGGCTGCGCTGAGCCCCGAGAGCTGTGGGCACCAATCAACGGTTGCCATAGCAGCGTTTGACGTCATCGTGCGTGTGGTGCCCCTGCTGCCGGGGCTGGTGATTGGAGGAAACCCCGTGTCTGCGGAGCGGCTGTAGCCTGTGAGCAGCGAGATCCAGGGACAGAGTCTCAGCCTCGCCGCCGCCGCCGCCCAGAGACTGCTGATCCCCCGTCCGTCCGTCCGTCCGCCGCCACCCACTCCGGACACAGAGCGTCCAGTCATGGATAAAAATGAGCTGGTTCAGAAGGCCAAACTGGCCGAGCAGGCTGAGCGATATGATGACATGGCAGCCTGCATGAAGTCTGTAACTGAGCAAGGAGCTGAATTATCCAACGAGGAGAGGAATCTTCTCTCAGTTGCTTATAAGAATGTTGTAGGAGCCCGTAGGTCATCATACTTTCAAGGTTTAGAAAACAATGATTCTTCATTTTGTATGGAATCAGGAAAAAAACCCTATAGACAAGACAATTCTTAGTAATGAAAGCAAAGCCAGTGGTATAACCCTACCACACTTCAGGCTATACTATAAGGCCATAGTGATCAAACAGCATGACATTGGCATAAAAATAGAGACATAGACATTTGAAACTGAATAGAAAACCTTCAGATAAACATCTCACAGCTACCTGATCTTCAATAAGCCAAAAAATAACATATACTGGGGAAAAGAATCCCTATTCAATAAATGGTGTTGGGACAACTGTATAACTACATGTAAAACACTGAAACTGGAACTGCACTTTTCACCAGTTACAAAAATTGACTCGAGATGGATAAAAGATTTAAATCTAAGGCATAAAACAATAAAAATCCTCAAAGAAAATATGGGGGAAACACTTGAAGATATAGGCCAGGGGAAAGATCTTAAACAAATTAAATTTAATTAAACTGAAAAGCTTCAGTACAACTAAGGAAACAACCACCAAAGCAAACAGACAACCTTCAGAATGAGAAAAGATATTTGCATATTATGAATCAGACAAAAGCTTGATAACTAAGACATACAGGGAACTCAAATTGATCAACAACAACAACAAAAAAATAATAATCCCATACATCACTGGGCAAGAGACTTATAAATAGTATCTTCTCTAAGGAAGACAGACTATGGCTAACAAACATATGAAAAAATGTTCATGGTCCCTAATCATCAGAGAAATGCAAATCAAAACCACTTTGAGATGTCACTGAATCCCAGTGACAATGGCCCACATCACAGTCTCAAAACTGCAGATGCTGCTGTGGTTGTGGAGAGAAGGGAACAATTTTACACTGCTGGTGGGACTGAAAACTAAAACAAAGTTTTTGGAAGAATGGAGAATCCTTAAAGAACTCAAATTAGACCTCCCATTTGATCCTGCAATCCCATTACTGGGTATCTACCCAGAAAAACAAAATATTCTTTTATCATAAGGACATGTGCACTAGACTGTTTATCATAGCTAGATTTATAATCACCAAAACGTGGAAAAAACCTAAATGTCCACCAACCTAGAGTGGATTAACAAGACTTGGTAGATGTATACCATGGAATAGTATTCAGCCATTAAAAAAGATGGAGACTTTACATCTTTTGTATTAACCTGGATTGAGGTGGAACACATTCTTCTTAGTAAAGCATCACAAGAATGGAGAAGCAAGGATCCAATGTACTCAATTCTAATATGAATGCAGTAAGTATATGAGCTAATTCATGGTGAAGAGTAAGGGAATGAGGGACCAGGAAGAAAGAAGGAGGGAGAGAATTAGGGGGTCAAAGTGTGTAGCACACCTCTTAGGGGTGGAACACAATTATAAGGGGGAATTTACCTAACAAATGCAATCAGTGTAACCTAACTCTTTGTATCCTCAACAAATCCCAAACAATTTTTTAAAAAGTGCTCAGAAAATAATATCATAGCTACCTGCAAGATCAGATCTATATTTCGTGAGTACTTATTTTGCTATTTGTAGGCATGAGAAAATAATTCAGATCTCTCAACACAGGGCTGGTGATCTTTATAATAGCTTGTTGAGTACATACACTGTGTCAAGAATGCACTAATTTTCTTCATCAACACAACCAACTGTGAAGTAGATGTTCCATTACATTCATCCTGTAGTTAAGGAAAGAGGTTGGGCATCATTTGGCTGCCATTTGGATAGTCACAGTGCTCAAAGCAAAATATAAAAGTTATAAACAAAGTGTGCTTTACTTTGAAGGCGGAACTTTTGCTCACTGGACAGAACCACATTTGATGCAGCATCTTGAACTCCCATGGTGCACCATGTAATCTAATAAGGAAGACTCATGTGAGCAGCCACCTGTAAGCCTGACCCAGCACTCAAATAAATGAGTGATAAGTGATAAAAGTCAGCTTAACTAAGAAAGCAAATGAATGACTTATTAGCGATTCAGCTGCACATAAGGGTAAGTATATGTTTGAAATATGACAATATTTTCAAAATATAATATGCATATGGCTCACCTGGGAGTATGAGTAAAATTACAAATTCTGATTCAATAGGTCTTCAATTGGCCTAACATTCTGAATTTTTAACAAGCATTTAAGTGATGCCAATGCTGCTTGTCTAATCATCACAGTCTTTGAGTAGTTATGAGATGGCTGGTATTGAGAATGTAGGAAATGTAGGAGCTGTAAAATTAACCAGAAAGTTTTAAGATGGAAGACTGGGTTTTATATTTACTTAAAAATTCAGTATTATGAGAAATGAGAACCCACCTCTCCAACCCTCACCTCTACTATCATCCTTCTTGTCATGCCCATAATATATCTCTTGGGCATAAAAATATGGTCTGTGCCTGAGACTTTTCCCAACAGAGTCTAGATTGGTTAAACTATCTTGGATACAAGAGAAAAAGCAGTTTTGAAGGGAAGCCATAGGAATGCCTGGCCACCTTTTCTGGGACTCATGTTTTGTTTACATAATTTGATTTTGTACATTTGAAAAAAAAATTATAAGTGTGCCTTTCACCCATATGTGTACATTGCACCATTTACATGTGGATCTAACCAACCCTACCTCTCCTCTCCTTGCTTGGTTTCCACTGATTTTTGCTTCCCTCTGTGTACCTGTGCTCCTCAATTAGTTCCAATTTAAAAGCAATTTCATGTGGCACTTGTTTTTCCATTCTTTATATACTTCATTTAGGATAAAAATCTATAGTTAGATCCAAATTTTTGCAAGAGGACTTAATATATCTTTCATGGCTAAGTAGTACCATGGCTCATATACATTTTGTTAATATACTCATAAATTGATGGCAGTTGGGTTGATTCTACATTTTTGCAATTGTGAATTGTGCTGCTACAAACATCTGAGTGCATGTGTCTTTTTGATAAAAATGACTTCTTTTCTTTTGGATAAATATCCAAAAGAAGGATTGACGGATCAAATGATAAGTCTATTTTTAGTTCTTTGAGAAATCTCCATACTGTAGTAGTGCCTACAGAAATTTTTCAAGTGTGTAATATGCACATTTCATCAAAGACTTTCATATGTACTGTTCCTCTAAAAGAAAGCATATAGGGGCAATGAGAGATGCTGTGCCTTCTGTCTTCACAACTGAGGACTCTACTGAACTAAATTCAGTGATCCCCAAAGGAGATACACTTTTTCCACAGGAAAACTGACAGTCATCATCTGGGAATTTTACTGTCCTTGTATGGAGAAACTAAAAGTCAAAGGCAAGAAGAGAATGTACCAGATTGTCAGGGGTAATTGACCTTCATTACTTTCATGACTTCATTTACTTTCTCTTCAGAGAAAGTAAAAACCGATGTTTCCCAAGCAAAAAAGCCAGGTCATTGAGCTCTATTGGGGGACAATTTTAATGGGCAGCAATCAGTTCTTGCATGGATTGACCAGTTTCATCAGGGAGATATTTCCCTTTTATTTTTCTTTCTATCAAATTCTGCTTTCTCCTCTTTTATTTCACAAGTATTGAACCTCTTTAATACTTAAGTTTATATTATGAGAGAGGATATGAGAATGAGCATAATGCTGAGGCAAAATTGTAAAAGTGAATTACTCTTAGTTTCATATTAATGTGAATTATTTCTCATATTTCCATTCCCTTTTTTTGTTATTAAGATAGAATAAAAGTACTATGTTAATAAATGCCTTCACATCTTGCACATAAGGCTAATTAATATGAGGCACCAAATCTACCCAGTACTCATTCTCTAATGTTCAACTAAATTCTACAGAGATGATGAAGTCAAATTAAAAGGAGATATGCTAGAGAGTCTGACATTAATTTCCATCAAAGGCTCAGAGGCATGGTGTTGTTTTAGAGCCAACTTATCAGCTGCAGGAATCTGGAGAGCATTTTATAGACTTCACTGGGCCTTCCTCACTGTAAAAGCTCTTACACCCTAAGCCAAAGACACATTGTAAGAGTAGAGTCTTTACCAAATACATCAATCCCAGTTTTAGATTCCAACTATCCATCTCAATTAAGATCCCATATAAAGTACTCCTAAAAAATGTCAGGATATTAATTTTTGACCAATATATAGTTACTCAAGCAAATTATCATCTATCCCTTTGGGGAAGGAGAGGCAAATTAGTACTGTGCAACTGTGTATAAGTACCATGGTATTAAAAGAACTCCCTGGAGATCTGCTCACTTCTTCAATCAGTTTGTTTGGAGTCTGAAACTAACTCAGGTGTTATAGGCGAAAGGCCTATATGCCTCTGATCCAAAAAGCTGTTTGAGAGAAAGCAGTGACAAGACTTTGTGCAGGCATACTTGTGAGAAACTGAGGCAGATCCCCATATGGCCAGGTTGATTGCAGGCCTAAAACCCCCCTGACCTAAAGTCAGCCTGATCAGTTGCAGGTGTAAAAACCCCTGACTTAAGGCCCATATGGGAGTGGAGGTTTGCACACAAATTTCTTTATGCCCTAGAAGTTTCTTTATGCCTTGTTTTAAAGATGAAAGTAACTGCCTCCAAATGGGGAGGTCAGTAGGACAGATTCTCAAACCATCTCTTTCCTCCATAGCCTCAGGTTTCATCAGAT